AATCCTACTTCCGTAGTGATACTGCCTCGGAAACCCAAGGAGGGGTCGCTATGAGTCGGGGCCGACTCAACGGCACATAACAACAACAACAACAACTTAGTAGTGAGATTGCTGGATCAAATGGTATTTCTATTTCCAGCTTTTGAAGGAAGCACCACACTATTTTCCACAGTGATTGTACCATGTTACAGTCCCAACAGCAGTGTATGAAAGTTCCAATCTCTCCACACCCTCACCAGCATTTGTTATTTTGTGTTTTGTTGAATTTTGCTGTCATTGCTGTGGTGAGATATTTCATTGTTGTTTTGATATGTACCTCTCTAATGGCTAACGATTGCAAGCATTTCTTCATGCATTTGTTGGACACCTGAATATCTTCTGTGGTGAAGTGTCTGTTCATGTCTACTGCTCATTTTTAAATTGGATTGTTTGTCTTTCTGTTTGAATTGATTGTTTATATTGGAGTTTTCTACAAATTTTAGAGATAAATCCCTTGTTGGATATGTCATTGCTGAGTATTTTTTTCCCAATCTGTAGGTTCTCTTTTGGAAGAATTTAATTTTTAGATGGTCCCAAAGGTCTAGTTTATTCTGATGTCTGTGCACTTTTAGTTCTATTTGTGTGTTAGACTGGGTTCTCTAGAGAAACAAAAACCAGCAAAGCTTATATATATATATAAAGAGAGAGAGAAATTTATCTTAGGAAAATAGCTCACAAATGTATAGAAGCCAGCAAGTCCAAAGTCCCTGGAGGAAACGTCAGGCCGGAGGCAGCCTTAGCTTCCGCAACTGCAGGGGGCCGAGAAGCTCAAGGCTGGCAGGCAGTACACTGGCTGTTGACTCCAACGAAAGACAAATCCAAGATCTCCAGGCCGAACGGTGGGCTGCTCACTCACAGAAAGTTGTAGGCAGCACACCAGAGTCCCAATCCACATCTCTCTTCCCAAGATGTCCCTGGATATCCTGGAAGCAGGCCACACACACCCCTAGGGAAACTCCTCTTGGGCAGATTGGCCACTCAGAACAGTCATCTGATCTCATCATGGGAACAACTACACAGAACTGGGATCCAGCCAAGTTGACACACAGCTCCAACTATCATAGTTTGATGGTCTATTTATGTCATATATTAAGGTACCTAAGTTTGCTCCTATTTTTTCTTTATAGCTTTGCATTTTACATGTAAGTCTTTGGTCCATCTTAGGTTAGTTTTTGTGTGTGGTGTGAGGTATGGATCTTGTTTCATTTTTCTGCAAATGGATATCCAGTCTT